ATTGAAAAAATCGGTCTTTCATTTTATAATCTTTAGGGATGAAAGTGATCCAAGTAAAAGTCGTGAGCTTGTATACTTTTTATCAGTTACAATGTTATCAATGCAATTTTAATTTGCACAAATATGTATACTTGTTTGTAAATTGGAATTTGTTGTTTTCAAATTACTTGTTTTGAATGAAACGAAAACCTTTGTACACACAGTAAAAGATTGGCATCCAATACAAAAACAGCAAAGTAACGTATTATTTTCAGATTCCACATTTGATCGATAAACGGGTATACTACTATACCCTATACTACTATACTATAGAAACATACACACACATTGTATGTATGTACATGTATTGTACATATAAGCAAATCAAAACATATCCAAATATACATATGTACATACGTATTTGGTCAAAAGTTCGAATCTTAAGATTAATATTTAACTTGGAAACATTTTGGCTTTGCTTACAGAATTTGTAGTAATTTTCTATTTTCTTCCATGGTGTAAATTAAATAAGGCTCTTACTTCTGCTACAAAATGAAAAATAAAACCTAAGCATTTGATCCACAGGACTGACTATTGATCGAAAATCATATTGATCGGAGCAGCAGTTTAAGTTTTTAAAATCCTAAACAAATTTAACTTAAATTGCCTCTTTCCCCTCCCCTTTCCATGCAGCACTACCCCTCCCCCTCAACAGTTTTCTTAGCTGTTGCTCTCTCGGCCGTCGCTCTCTTGGCTTCTGGGTTTCGTTCTCTCGACAGGCTCCCGCAAAATACAACGCAATGACTTAGAAAATCTAAATAAAATCGTTAAAAATACTTAAAAAAATGTTAAAAACTTGAAAAATTAAACTTAAGCATTTGGGCCATAGAATAACTATTGAGCGAAAAATCATCTTGATCGGAGCAGCGGTTTAGATTTTTTAAATCGAAAAGTTAATTTTAAATGTAGCCCCCAAATTATGGGGGATATCGAAATTTCTTTTAGATTTCTAATTAGGCCTTTTCAAAACCTAAAATTTGGAAAAAACCAAATATCGAAATTCCAACCACTTTAGAAGTTAAGCTTAAATACATAAACTTTTTTTGCTCAGAATAATGGATGTTGGAGCTGTTTGAGGCCACTGGGGGGACATATCGGATCTTAGTGGGCGCCCACGCCCCCAATGGAATACTGTGAAAAAATTTGGCTGCTCTTGCTCTTACGGTTTGGGCTGTGGCCGTATCCCCTTAAAAATCGGTCTTTCATTTTATAATCTTTAGGGATGAAAGTGATCCAAGTAAAAGTCGTGAGCTTGTATACTTTTTATCAGTTACAATGTTATCAATGCAATTTTAATTTGCACAAATATGTATACTTGTTTGTAAATTGGAATATGTTGTTTTCAAATTTCTTGTTTTGAATGAAACGAAAACCTTTGTACACACAGTAAAAGATTGGCATCCAATACAAAAACAGCAAAGTAACGTATTATTTTCAGATTCCACATTTGATCGATAAACGGGTATAATAAATCATTTTATTTGTATTTAAGCACATTATCTACTTTCGAATAGAAACATACACACATTGTATGTATGTACATGTATTGTACATATAAGCAAATCAAAACATATCCAAATATACATATGTACATACGTATTTGGTCAAAAGTTCGAATCTTAAGATTAATATTTAACTTGGAAACATTTTGGCTTTGCTTACAGAATTTGTAGTAATTTTCTATTTTCTTCCATGGTGGAAATTAAATAAGGCTCTTACTTCTGCTACAAAATGAAAAATAAAACCTAAGCATTTGATCCACAGGACTGACTATTGATCGAAAATCATATTGATCGGAGCAGCAGTTTAAGTTTTTAAAATCCTAAACAAATTTAACTTAAATTGCCTCTTTCCCCTCCCCCTTTCCATGCAGCACTACCCCTCCCCCTCAACAGTTTTCTTAGCTGTTGCTCTCTCGGCCGTCGCTCTCTTGGCTTCTGGGTTTCGTTCTCTCGACAGGCTCCCGCAAAATACAACGCAATGACTTAGAAAATCTAAATAAAATCGTTAAAAATACTTAAAAAAATGTTAAAAACTTGAAAAATTAAACTTAAGCATTTGGGCCATAGAATAACTATTGAGCGAAAAATCATCTTGATCGGAGCAGCGGTTTAGATTTTTTAAATCGAAAAGTTAATTTTAAATGTAGCCCCCAAATTATGGGGGATATCGAAATTTCTTTTAGATTTCTAATTAGGCCTTTTCAAAACCTAAAATTTGGAAAAAACCAAATATCGAAATTCCAACCACTTTAGAAGTTAAGCTTAAATACATCAACTTTTTTTTGCTCAGAATAATGGATGTTGGAGCTGTTTGAGGCCACTGGGGGGACATATCGGATCTTAGTGGGCGCCCACGCCCCCAATGGAATACTGTGAAAAAATTTGGCTGCTCTTGCTCTTACGGTTTGGGCTGTGGCCGTATCCCCTTAAAAATCGGTCTTTCATTTTATAATCTTTAGGGATGAAAGTGATCCAAGTAAAAGTCGTGAGCTTGTATACTTTTTATCAGTTACAATGTTATCAATGCAATTTTAATTTGCACAAATATGTATACTTGTTTGTAAATTGGAATTTGTTGTTTTCAAATTACTTGTTTTGGATGAAACGAAAACCTTTGTACACACAGTAAAAGATTGGCATCCAATACAAAAACAGCAAAGTAACGTATTATTTTCAGATTCCACATTTGATCGATAAACGGGTATAATAAATCATTTTATTTGTATTTAAGCACATTATCTACTTTCGAATAGAAACATACACACATTGTATGTATGTACATGTATTGTACATATAAGCAAATCAAAACATATCCAAATATACATATGTACATACGTATTTGGTCAAAAGTTCGAATCTTAAGATTAATATTTAACTTGGAAACATTTTGGCTTTGCTTACAGAATTTGTAGTAACTTTCTATTTTCTTCCATGGTGGAAATTAAATAAGGCTCTTACTTCTGCTACAAAATGAAAAATAAAACCTAAGCATTTGATCCACAGGACTGACTATTGATCGAAAATCATATTGATCGGAGCAAGTTTTAAGTTTTTAAAATCCTAAACAAATTTAACTTAAATTGCCTCTTTCCCCTCCCCTTTCCATGCAGCACTACCCCTCCCCCTCATCAGTTTTCTTGGCCGTCGCTCTCTTGGCTTCTGGGTTTCGTTCTCTCGACAGGCTCCCGCAAAATACAACGCAATGACTTAGAAAATCTAAATAAATTCGTTAAAAATACTTAAAAAAATGTTAAAAACTTGAAAAATTAAACTTAAGCATTTGGGCCATAGAATAACTATTGAGCGAAAAATCATCTTGATCGGAGCAGCGGTTTAGATTTTTTAAATCGAAAAGTTAATTTTAAATGTAGCCCCCAAATTATGGGGGATATCAAAATTTCTTTTAGATTTCTAATTAGGCCTTTTCAAAACCTAAAATTCGGAAAAAACCAAATATCGAAATTCCAACCAGTTTAGAAGTTAAGCTTAAATACATCAACTTTTTTTTGCTCAGAATAATGGATGTTGGAGCTGTTTGAGGCCACTGGGGGGACATATCGGATCTTAGTGGGCGCCCACGCCCCCAATGGAATACTGTGAAAAAATTTGGCTGCTCTTGCTCTTACGGTTTGGGCTGTGGCCGTATCCCCTTAAAAATCGGTCTTTCATTTTATAATCTTTAGGGATAACATTCTTGTTATGAGAGGTAACTTTTAATTTTGTAATTTAATTTGTAGTAACAATAAATAAGAATTCTTCAAATTATGAGCAACCTATAAAATGGATATTCTTCAGAGAAGGACGGCCTGATAATGTATTTTTCAAATTAACTTTTCATCAAAAATCAATTAAAAATTCGTTGTTCGGTTCCTTATTGTAAATGTTACTTAAACCTGCGCATTCTTCAGACGAAGAGGAATATTGTGAAAAGTCCGCAGGTTTTTACTTCTGAAACGCAATAGAACAAAACACATAAAAAAATTTTTTCACTAACATTTTGCAATAGTTTTCTATTGTTTTTTATTAGCATTACTTTTTTAAAAAGGTAATTTATTATTTATCATAAGTTATTTTAATGAAACCTGAATTCACTAGCATTACCTTCTTAATGATAATTAAATTTGCAACTGATTACAAATTTAACAAAATTAAAATAAAATTAAATTAGTATAGTATATAGTATATATACTATAGTTGTTGAATACTACTTATCACAATTTAAAAAAATCCAATAAGCTTTTTTATAAATTAAAAACTACACTAAAAAAACTAGTCCGAAGTGAATATGTAATGTACTTAAAAGTTAATTGTCCGGCTTTCAGGTAGGTGGGCGTTAAAGAATGTTATTTGGGAAGAAAAAAATGTTGTTTTTATTTTGCAGAGTATTTTAATTTTAGGTAGAAGTAAGCTACACAGTGCAGGGAACATTTCTAAAATATTGAAGTATATATATTTTTTATCAGCATCATATCAGCGTGTTGAGTCTCTCAGTTTTAATGCTATCTGTGTGAAACTTTCATTTACGTTTATTTTATTATTTTTATTTAATTTTTCATAAAATGTAAAACGTGTAAGCTATTAAAAACAGGACAACAACGTAATTACACTTATTAAAAAAATTAGTTATTAAGGATTTCAAAAATTCATTTTCAACTTTAAAAAATATATAATATGTATATGCCTTAGAATCGACATAAAAGTTGATGAGAAACTTAATTTTGTAATCATATATGGCTGAAACCCGATAAACTGTCCTATTTATAGAATATTACATTGTTGTTATTTATAACTGCAAGGTTATAAAAAAATCAACTTGTCAGAGTATGTTTTCTATATGCAATTTAAGTGTGATTTTTTAATAAGAGACGCTGCTTGTCGATTTTTTTTGTATTAGTTTTATGCGATGCGCAAATGACAGGCGCTAAACCAACTTGAAATTATTGCCTCGATCTTTTGCAGATGCTGTCTACCTATCCAGCTCGAGGCAAATCTTAGAGCCTATCATGGAGGAGACCAGCGAAGACGAGGAACTTGCCCAGGGCACATGGAGTGGCTGCCAAGAGCAGCAATCCAGCCTTTGGAGCTCCACAGAGTCTGAAACGGGCTCAGTGTTGCGCATAGAATTGATGAAGGGTAAGCTGGTGGAAATTTCCTGTCCAATTCTACAGAACCCCATCTTATTGCACTTTTCCTCGTAGAAGTTGATGCTAGGTCTGAGCGGGACTTTGCCTGCCCGGCCAAAAGACCGAGGCACAGTCTGGAGCCCGATCCTGGGCATAGTCTTGAGGATAGCGTCCAGATGCGCCGCCCTCACCGCCAGGATTTCGAGTCCCACAACAGTTTGGAGCGCATACTGGTCATAGATGCATGTGCCCGGGACAGCTGTGGAAGTCAGGGACAGCGGAGCAGCTTAGGCAGTAGGCGCGGTGGTTCTTTTGATGATTATAACTCGGACAACGATTCCTTCCACTCGCTTTCACGCAGCTCTTCCCTGGTTCAGTTCGAGTTCCTGGAGCGGCAGTTTACTCTCCAAGAGCAGCACCAAAGTATGAATAGTCTGGGAAACAGCTCGCCCTCACTCTTCAACTGCGAGCTCAATGTCGCAACTCGGTCTAGTGATAGTAATCCGGAGAGCAGGAGGGGATCTGCCTCGTCGCTTTCATTAATGAAGCGATTTGAGTCTAGCGACTGTCGCCTGCATCAGACGTATTACGAGCTGAACAAGCTCAACTTCGAGGATCATCAACAGCTCTTCTGCAAGAGCTTGCACCAGACTGAACTGAAGTCCGACTCGGAGACCTGCTCCAGTTCCAGCTCCAGCTCGTCCAGCGATAGCAGTAGTCACAGCCTTGTAAGCTCGTGTCTCGGCATCGGAAATGCGAGGGAAGCTCGAAACCAGGGTGAGACGGCCTCACGGCGAATGCCGCCCAACTCAGCCGAAAATCTGTCGGAAGACTCTGGGTACTGCGAACCCAGATTGCTGCAGCTGGAAAAGTCTAAATCTATACCAAAGAATTTCGACAAGCTTTGCGAGGAGGAGGAGAAGCTGCTGCTACTGGAGGAGGGTTCGCCGTTTTCCCGAAACTCCCATGATTTGTGCCACCCGAAAATAGAACAGACTGCCAATATCGCATTAACGCCCTGCTCTCCGTGCTCTCCGTCCTCTCCGCCGTTGTCTATTAATAGTTTCCCTGAGAGGGCATGCTCTCAGTCTAAATTGGATTTGCCGCTCACGTCGCCAACCGGATCGGCCGTATCAACGTCGTCCGCTGCCTCGTTCACTTGGCTGCGCAACAGTTTGCCCGACATCCGCGAGCCGCGAGGTCCACTCTCACTTGCAATTGGCGAACTGGATTCCCTTTACGGCTTCGTTCTGGCCACCAGCAGCCACCGCCGCAGCCACAGCAGGAGTTCTGCTGGCAGCAGCTCGCCCACCACGAACTCGTTGCCCAACGAGCTGCAGCAATTGGGACGGCGCCGCCGTCCGCGCAACATCCGTCCCAATCAACAGAACTATAACAGCAAAAGCAGCGTGAGTAGCAGCTCTAGCGAGGCGCTTAACTTGGAGCGAGGGGAAAGCCGTGACGACTTCTTTCTTGAGTGTTACAGTCTGTCGAAAATACGGCGGAGTTGCAGCTTGAAAGAGCGCCCCAGAAGAGCAGTGAGCGCGGCCAGTACAAGATATCTTAACGCTAGCTACCAGAACCTCACGCTTTTGGATTACACGGAAAAGCGTCCGCTGAAAGATCAGAGAAACCACAAGAGGAGCCAGGCGGAAGTCATGTCGGACGGGGTCTACGAGCAGATTATTTGCAAGGGCAATTTCTTGTTGGATGAGATCAGCAAGATATACGACAAAAATGTTTCCATACTGACGGATAAGCCGGCTCTGGAGGAGAAGTTGCAACCGCCGTCAGAGGATCATATTTCAAATGCACGAGAGGAGCCTTCAGTGCAGCACTTGCAGTTGACTATTAAGCAGCCACCGCGCCAGAAGCGTTCGACTAGAGATTCCAAACAGTGCTTCGGCAAGACCTTTGACCAGGACCCAACCAATCTGCGCACCATGTACGCCCAAAGTTTGGAGCAGTGCCACTTTGATGTGCAGAAAATTCATGCTCCGGGCTACCAACCAACCATCTTGCAGAGGCCCCTGCCGAAGCGCCGGTTCCACTCCGCCAAGCAACGCAGCTTGGTTAGTAGCACGCCAAATCTATCAGTCTGCGACAAAGGCGGGGAAGACCCGGAAGACGAAATTTATGTGAACAGTGCTCACACCTCAATGCACCACTTGCCAAAACCTCTAGGTATCCTACTGCCCGCCGGGTCGCGTCACTCCTTCGGCAAGGAGGTTAGCTTCTGCCCGGTGGTCAGCAAGTACTGCTGGCAAGAGCAGTCCTCAGAAGAGCCGTTCGAAGATCAGTGTCGGTCTAGCGAGGGCGAGCAAGGCCCATCGAACGACGATGAACTGCTGGACAATGCGGACGCCACTGTGGTGCACAACACAAAAGAGAACGAGAACATCGCCGCGCTCTTTGACCAAGAGCAATCGCATTGCTTCAGAGAGCCAGCGATCGAAGAGAGCGTCGCCACCGAACAGAAAACAAAAATCGCCACACCCGAATGCCTTCATCAAAAAACCGAAGCTAAGACCACTCCGGGAAACGAGCTCTCATTAAGCAGCGCAATCAGTCTTGAACCTTGCATCGTCGCGAGGTCATCGTTCCAGTCAGCACATCAAGCGAGCGCACTACCTCTGAGTCTAACCCTGCCTGTTCTAAGTGAGCCGCCCACTAACCGCGCCTTCCACATTCTTTACGCCTCACAGCAGGTGCTAGAGGGTTACGAGGGCCCGAAAATTTGCGAGATGCTGCCGGCCTCGAATTTGAGCAGGACGACCGACAAGACCTCCAAAGGCTTCATCTCCAGGCTCACCCATGGACTCCGCTTCTCGCTGCGCCGAAAAAAGAAACTGCAGAAGCTGGAGCAGCGGGACCAGAAGGGGGAACAAAATCAGTCGACGGTGGTGCTGGCGTCACCTATTAAGTACTCTATGCCAAGCAACGGAAACAGCAAGTGGGACGACTCTGTTCATATCCCTCTGAAGCCACCGAGAAGCTCGCAATGCACCCAACTTCACAATAGCACCGAGGCGATCACTGCCAGTGTACACAGCAGCCGGCAGCTGGAACACCTGAACGAAACACAGCAAAAAGTGGTGACCGGCAAGCCACCGCTGCCCAAGCTGGCGCCCCGAAATGGAAACCAGGCCTATGTGTCTATAGGAGCCAACGCTAGCGCCACCACCACTGCCCATACCGAGGCACTTCTAAGCGCCGAACGGAGACAGTACGAGCCAAGGATGCAAGGCACTGAGTCGCCCTCGACGGCGATTGGCGCACAAAAGACGCATAAGGTCAAGCAACTCGGCGGAAACGGACTCGCGGCCAAGCAAACTGTGGTTACCGCTGTTCCAGTGACTGTTTCTCCCGTGGAAGAGGGAGGTAAGATGGGTTTAATGGAGACCAATCTGGACACTCATGAAACGGTCATTTCGGGGAAGACGCGTTCACTCATGGATATAACATGCAACCCTCTTAGCCTGTCGTACAAGCGATACATCGTGAAGCGGCTAAATGTGACTAGCGCTGCCCACGACGAGGGTGATGTGGACGGGGAAGCTATCATTGGTGGCGTGCAAATAGCATCCGTTCGCAGGCCGCACAAGAGCATGGAGTTTCTACTGGACAAGAAAAACCAGAAGAATATTTTGGTAAGTAGATAACACCAGTTTTATTTAAATATGCCACTTTTTTTATTTGTGTAATGATTTCCCCAAAAATGACAAAAAAACTGGCTTAAATTCAACAAATGCAATATAAAAATAGTTGTTTTATAGAATATTTCATTTTGCCTAGCCTTCCTTTTTGTTTTTTAATTCATGTTCGCATTAATTGGGCCAAACCTTTTATTTTATTATTTTGTTTTGTAAAAAGTAAAAACTGCAGAAATTAATTAATTAATTAACCCACTCTTTTCCACGGTGTCATAAACTTACTTTTTTGGAAATTTTAACTTTGTAGTGAAGCTTTATACCAATAGTATTTTAATATATCTACTATTATTATAACTATAATTCGGTAGCGTTGCTATTCATTGTTATTTTATTATTTGTGGAACTTAAAATAATTTACTATATTTATAAAAATTTCTTCATTTTCGATTTAAAATTATCTATGTTGCAGGGTTTTATAGATAGTTATTGCTATTAAATTTTTAAAATTTAAGAAACTATAGTAGTAGATAATATCATCCTGTATAAATACATAAATAGTAAATAATTCGTTCGGTTTTAGGGAATGTCGTTAAACGCTTTCTATATATTTGTGAACTCACACATATTTTTTAAGGTACATTTGTATACTACAAATTAGAGGCGCTTTTTTCTACTATCTAAAATTCCAAAAAGCATTACATTTTTTCATTTTGTAAGAATCGACACTTAACAAATTATTAAAAAACAACTGGGGGAAAATGGACCTAAAAAAGGGTTTCCAAAAAAACGTTAAAACTAAATTTCGAAACAATACAATAGTTTTTGATAACTTTAACGGTATAAAAAAAGTTACATGTAAGCCAAATATTTAAATACAGACATTTTTTTTGAGTATAAAAGAGAAAAAAATGGAATCAACAACTAAAATACGCACTACTTCTTTTATTGACGTCAAAGCTTTTTTCTGCTTTTTTCTCGAGGACAGTTAATATCAAACAATTAAAAGTTATGTTTTTTTAACGAATACTTAGTATGCAGTTGGGCTTGGAATAGTTTATATAAACATAATTTTAATACAAAACGACTACATTTCGATTATCCTTTTATATATACCTATATTACTATTACTAAAAACAGCGAAGCTACATATGTCGATTTTTCGCTGCATTTTGTCAACGTTTGTCCGATTTTGACAAAACGAAAAGCGTAATTCTGATATAGTAAATAATAACTTTATCTCAAAGGAATATTTTAATAAATAGAAAAACAGAAAAAACATTTTTTATTTTTTGATTGTTTCCATTCGAGCAATATGATATATATGTCCGTTTTTAATTTAATTAAATGCGTAATTCCGTAGTATTTAATTAAAACAACAAAGTTATACTTTTTAAAATTTTTTTCCGATTGTTCCTATGGGGGCTATATGATATAGTCGCCCCATTCGGGTCGTTCCGACTTATATACTACCTGCATACTACTTTTGGGAAAGTTTCACGCAGATAGCTTTAAAACTGCTGGACTAGTTTGCGTAGAAACGGACGGACGGACAGACGGACATGGCTAGATCGACTCTCCTAGTGAAGCTGGTCAAGAATGTATATACTTTATGGCGTCGGAAATGTCTCCTTCACTGCAAACTTTTGACTGGAATTATAATACCCTCTGCAAGGGAATAAAAATAAAAAGTTTTGAAAAGTTTTTTAATAATAGATTAAAAACTGAGTGACTAGTTAGCGTAGAAAAGGACAGATGGTCATGACTGGTGATGCTGACCAATTATATATTTATATTTAATAGGGCCGGAAATGTGTCCTTCACTGCGATGCAAGCTTTTGGTTAAAATTATATTATATATCCTCTGCACAAAAATGTGCTTTTATTGCTTTAAGCATTCCATTAAAATATCCCCATGAGGTAAAAAATTGTGTAAAAAACAGTGATTTAACGATAAGCCTAGACAATAGTTCCACCCAGTTACTACTTTACCATAATTCGCTGACGTATTAAGGCTGTAGGAAAAATCAGATGGAAAGTTAATCGAAATGGATATATATATGTATATGTTTATGTGTAGAAATAACGAAGTTATAATGTTATTTCCCTTTGTTTAACGATTGTTCCTTTGGGACCTATGTATATGATAAAGTAGATTGATCCGGCACGTTCTGACTTTTAAACTACCTGCAACCAAAAACTAAATTAATATTAAACAGAAACAAAAAGTACCGACACATGCAGTTTTTTACAAAGCTCCAAGGGACATGCTTCAAAAACAGATAAAGATGCAAGAAAAAAGCTTAATTGTCTACACTACACGGGCGAAAAAAAAAACGTCTACGCCTATATTACTAAAAACAATGAAGCTTTGTCGATTTTGCGCTGCGTTTTGCCATTGTTTTTATGGCAGCTATATGATATTGTCCAATTTTAGTTTAATTAAGACCGTAATTCCTTAATATTTAAATATTACCAAATCCCAAAGAACAGAAAACAAATTAAAAACAAAAAAGTTATATATTTTTAAATTCTTTTTTCCAAATGTTCCTGTGGGAGCTATATGATATAGTCGCTCGATCCGGCTCGTTCCGACTTATATACTACCTGCAATAGAAAAACAACTTTTGGCAAAGTTTCAAGCAGATAGTTTTAAAACTGAGGGACTAGTTTGCGTAGAAACGGACGGGCGGGCAGACGGACAGACGGACGGACAGATGTACGGACAGACGGACGGACAGACGGACAGAAGGACGAACAGACGGACATGCTTATATCAACTCAGGAGGTGATCCTGATCAAGGATATATATACTTTATAGGGTCGGAGATTACTTTTTCACTGCGTTGCACACTTTTGACCAAAATTATAATACCCTCTGCAAGGGTATAAATATAAAAATGTATGGCCCGTCGGCAGTGCGGTGCTTAGATTTTTGTCTGACTAGTTCTAACCTTTAGGCTACGCGGACAAGGTTAGAACAATTTTATGGTCAGGGTGTGATATTTTAAAAAAATGTTTTCTGTGTTATGGAAAATATTTCTATACTAAGGAAAATATTACCATATTTAAGAAATCATTCTTTATTCAAGAAAATATTTCTATAATTTAGAAAACGTTTCTATTTTTTAGGGCTATCTAATTTTTAGGGTCAATTTGAGAAAATATATCTTTTTTTTGTGGTAAATTATTTTTTAGGGCAGAATTCCTCATTCTAAGAAAAAAAATTCTAAAAGCAAGTACCATTTTTACTAAAATATAAATATTTTTTCTTGGATTTATGTTGATTTTAGTTTATGGCGACCATTTCTTCATTTAAGAAACACTTTTTTTATTCAAGAAAAGTGTTATAGTTTTCAGAAAAATATTCCTTAAAATTTATAAAAATAAAGTTTTTTGCCGAATTTCTAAAATTTAGGGTTAATTTTGCTAAGAGTGTAGGACGTTAATGCACTATTTTCAGCACAAACAAGTGAACCTTTGACACCAAGCAGGGCTTGTTATGCGGGGAGACCTATTCCTATTGAGGTGCAAAAGCGAGATCGCGAGAAATGAAAAAAGTTCAATATAGAAAGGACAGACTAAGTTAAAATACATACTAAACTGAATTTCGTGCTTAATAAGATACAATTAATTCTTTTAAGTTTGGCAAAGAGTAGATAGTAAAAATATAATATTATAGTCTATTTTAGTACTTAAATAAGTAGATCATAGTTATATCTTTACACCACATTTGGGACTCCAAACTGGTAAACAGTGCTCTAGGATTGGACGGACTAGTGAAATAAATAAAATATATTTTTCATATTTTGTTTAGTTAACCTTTTCCTTCCAAGTTAAAACATTCATAATCGTTCAAACTTTTAATGATTTTATTGTTTATTCCTGGGATTGAGTAGGCATAATACCCGAAATTAATCTAATTGTCACCCAAAACAATTATATATAAAATTTGTTTAAAATTGGCGGTTGCAAATATCAATTTATCAATGGTTTATCACAAAAAAAATTTTTTTTTGAACTATACACTAATTAAACACACTTAAAAGTGGAAACAAAGTACGGATTTAAATACTTAAAAACTCCGTGGTGATATCTTCAACAATAAATATAAAAAAGGCGATATTTTCAAAATCAAAGGTAAATTTGAATACTGGTAAGACCAGAAATTCCTAAACAAATTTAATTAAAAATACCATTGATTAACAATAAAAAATAAAAAAATAAAAATATTAACAACTTAACAAATTAACAATTAATAATAATAAATAAATATAACATTAAAAAGAGAATATAAAATATTTTTTTATTTGGATTTTAATGGATTAATTTGAGAATTATAAATTATTATTCATATTATCAATATTTGTTATTTAAATTATTTGAATATCCCATTTGGTTAAAAATGTATGATTCTGGCAAAGAAAAACTAAAATCCCGCCACTGTGTTACCCTTTTTTCAAACTTTCGACTTTAAATACGTATTACTAGCTTATGCAGATATTCGACATTTGGTTTAACACCGCCATGTGAATAATAATAGACCATACCCTGCAGTTCCGAAATTCATCACTACAAAAATTCATCACTGTTTAATCAGCAGCGGACTGCGACGCCGGCAGAGCCAAAGGCAAAGTCGGCAGAGCCGAGTGCGACGCAGGCAGAGCCGAAACTCTCAGTCCCCGATCGTAGGCAACGCAGAAAAATGTCCATCTCCCTCTCTTACTCTGTCTCTCTCCCCATAAAATGAGCTGAGAGGTGGAGGACAATGTATTAAAGTCAGATCGACCTTTATACACCCTTGAAAATAAATTAGCATAAATTTGTATTGTAGTCGTTGATTCTTATTAATTATATTATTTTATGGAAATACTTTTTAAAAATAAAATTATTATGATAGTTTTGAAAGGTTCCTTTTTTAAGTGAATTTAAGTTATGTGATTATTTTGCATAGTCGGACATGCTTTTATATACCCTGCTTTGACGCGAAGCGAAATATG